ATTGTTTACAATTTCTTTCTATAATTGCATACTGTTCCTTAGTATACAATTTTATACTTCAGCTAAAAACCCAAGCACATTTTTCAACTAGATAGTGTTGCTTTCCAAATTAAATTTTTCTGAGTTTAATTTTTCCTGTAATAACTAGATAGATAAATAGATGCCACTATAGAATAAATGTTCATCTTCTGCTTGAGCACGCATACATTTTAAAAATAGCTTCCACTTGCCCAATTTCATCTCTACAGGAATTTGATGGCCAGAGACATGACTCCTAAATAGCAGCAAGGCAAAGGGACCAATAACTATTTCTAGAGTCACATAAATGTAAAATTTGGGTTTTAAAAAGTCATAAGAGGGGCCTGCCTATTATTAGCTCAGTTTTTTAAGTGCCTGCTTTAGCGAAGGCAGTCAGGCTTAGGATATTGTGGTTCGATCCCCAGATCCTCATGCCTTACCAGACCTGCCCTTAAGACATCCTTAGAAACCAACAAAACAAAACAAAAAATCCTCCTGAATTTTTGGGCCAGGGAGATGGTTCAGTATTATAAGCGCTTGCCTGGCAAGTGCCAGGGCCTGAGTTCAATCCCCGGTTCTGGCAAGAAAAAAAAAAAAGCCATAAATTCCCTAATTTACTAAAAATGTATGGCTTAGCATGGAACAATAAAAGTCACAATTTAAATTTATTAGCAACTTTCACACATAGTTTGTTAACTGAAACTCATTTTTTAACATCACAGGAGGTAAGTTTAATAGAATTTTAAAAACATTGTAACTTTTAACTAATATTAACCTGAGAATGACGCTATTCACTAATTCTGGAAGACCTAGAAATATGTATACGTCAAACGCTCCAAATGGTTCTTTGTTAGATTGTCACAATTTTTGAAGACAGCTTCAGATAAACCCAACAATTGAGGTGCTGTAAATATCCTTGCTCTTTCATTGTTAGCTATTGTTAGTATACTTGCCTTTGTTCAATAACTACCCTTGATAAATCCCGAAGGCAGAGCCTCGAACACATTTGTTACATGAATGGAGGGCTGCAAGAACGGATGAGTGAATGAGCCACCAAGTGACAGTGACAGTATCTCTGAATTATAATGCATAGAATGCTCTATGTATATGCGGATCTTGGATGCAACCAGACCTGAGGCTTCCGGACTCCCACAAACATGTCTTTCATACTTAGCAACATTCAGACTGGTTGGTCTACTGGTTACATCAGACCGGCATGAGGAAGAAACTTCAGTATGGAAGGGAAAGGAGTTACCCTGGGCAAGGATGGTGGTGTTTATGAGAGCAGGGCAGATTTACTGCAGTCCTACTGAGGCTTAATGTCAGAGCCCGCCCACCAAAGGCCCCTCTAATGGGCCCTGAGAACGTGTGCATTTGGTCACATGTTCAACTGGTCACATATTCCTGTAAAATGCACCAAAGTAAAGAATAACTGAGTTCATCCTAGTAAAGAAGAGTCTCAAAGTAAGCATCAGTTTCACATAACCTGGGTCTGCCCTTGTGAGAGGTAGGAAAAGCCGGTGGCAGGAGAAAATAGATGAGCGGTCAGGCAGGTCTCCATGACAAGCTATAGCAAGAAGAGGTTTCCTTCGGCTCATGGTTGTGGAGGTGTCAGCCCATGGTCACTGGCCCACCTCATTGTGGCCAGGAAGCAAAGGCAAAGACAGGAAGGGGCCAGGGTGCCAACATCTGTCCCCTTCAGGCACGCTCTAAATGACACAGCTTCTGTCCAGGAGATCCTGCCTTTTAAAGGCTCTACTGCCTCCCAGTATCTGCATAGGCCGAGGGCCAGGCCTTTAGCACATGGGCCTTTGGGGGGCACTCATCCACTTATCCAATACAATAGCACTTACAAAAAACCCTGCTGGAGCACAGGCACTGAAGTCTGAGATTGCCAGTCAAATTTCTGGGCAGCTTCTTGCTTTCTACAAATGCTATTTCTTAGGCTCCCAGTTCTCATATCACGACTTTCTTTCAGCTTTTACATCTCCTTTGCAAATGAAGTCACAAGAGACATTCAGCTGTTACAAACTTCATGTCAAGCTTTGAAGTGTGTTTTAATAGCAGAAATATTTGGCTCACATGTAGGCTTTGTAGCTATGGTAAATACCTCTTAGTTATCTGTCGCTACTGTTATTTCACACCTCCAATTTGGAGGAGAAGTTCTGCATATGCATTGAGGCACTAAAAAAGAATATTGAACTATATCTTAGCTCTTTTGTGAATGGCTTCCTTTTATTTCTTCTCTCATGGAACTAATACTTTCATCGCATTGTACTGGTTCTGGGTGGGAAAGCAGTGGGTGGAAGGGGGATGCTGATTATTACATCACTGGTTGGCAGCTTCCTTTCTGCTGCTTCAAGGTTAAGTGGTCAAGTAGCTCCTTAATACAAGATCAAGACATTTCAAGGACTAACTCGTCCACCTGGTTTCTGGCAAGTGCTTTAGTAGATTTTGGATAAAATGCTTACAGTGGCTTAAGGAGAAGAAACTGACCACAAATAGAAAGAGATAAAGATGGAAAGAAGGGAGCAGAAGAAAATTAAAAAAAAAAAACCAAAACTCTTCTTATCTTTGAGGTCCTGTATGAGCACTGAAATATGGACTATATGGCCATACACATCAGAGCCACATATTTAGAAATTGCACTTTTTAAAGAACAGAAAAACACAGGCCATGTATTAAGCATTTGGGATCGGTCCTGTGTTGAACATTTTCTGCTTTATACAACAATTATTTGATGATGAGATGCTGGAAAATGTTATTGCACACCATATGTTAACACTTGACATTTTTATTTCTTAAAATGCAACAATTTAGAAGTCTAGATGTGTTTATTAATTAGTGATTATTAACACCCTGTAAACAACATTTTGTCTTGTAAAAACACAATCTCTTTTCACAGCATGAAGCTGAAATCTATTATGCCCTGATTCCATATGCTGAAACACACTCAAATGGTCACAGATGACCTTAAGCACTAAATAAATGTAAATGAGGACAACATAGAAAATGCACTTTTGATTGATAACTAAAAGACTAGGTTGAAAATCAGTTCCAAAAATGAAGTCCTATCCAGAACAAATGCCTGTCCGTACTGCGGAGAGGAGGAGAAAGGCGCAGGAAGCGTAGGCTCCTTCTCCTTCTCTGGGCCTGCCTGGTGTTTGTGGGAAATTGCTTTGTCTGTTTATATAAGAAAACCAGAACACATTCCCCCAGGGCCATTGGTCAGTACGGAAGGTCCTATCGTGGTATTTAAAACTATATAGGTATATGCACACTTCATCGAATTCACCAACGAACAGAAGAGACAGAAATGACTGCTACTCCACAACCTCATACCCGCATACCCACAACTTTGCTTCTAAAGCACGGTAGCTGTGTAGCCAACTTTTCAAACTGGGCAACTCAGGCAGGAAAATATCCTCAGCAAAAGGGAAGATGAAAAATGCTGAAGGATGACAGTCTAATAGTAATAAATAAAATAATTAAGGGCTGGGGAGATAGCTCAGTGGTCTAAGCGCCTGCCTGGCAAGCGCAAGAACCTGGGTTCTATTCCCTAGTACTGCATGCTGTGCGGGCCACTGAAACTGGACATGGTGGTGCATGCCTGGAATTCCAGGGCTGAGGGAGGCTGAGATGGGAGATCACTATGAGCTCGAGTTGTGTAGCGAGACCCTATACCAAATAAATAAATAAATCTTAAAAAAATAATTAAAATAAAATTGTGGGCCTGGGAAGACGGTTCAGTAGAATAAGCGCTTCCCTGGCAAGCACAAAGGCCTGAGTTCAATCCACAAAGAAAAAAACAAAAACACATAAATACATAAATAAAAAATAAATAAGGGTTGGGGAGATAGCTCAGTAGAATAAATGCTTGCCTGGCAAGTTAAAGGTCATGAGTTCAATCCCCAGTACCGCCAAAAAATAAATAAATATAAATAAATAAATAAATTTAAATTAATAAATAAATTACATCTCACTTTGGGGCCGAGGAGATGGCTCAGTAGAATAAGCGCTTGCCTGGCAAGCACAAGGGTCTGAGTTCAATCCCCAGTTCCGCCAAAAAAAAAAAAAAAAAAAAAAAGTAGGAAATATTATGGGGCTGGGGAGATGGCTCAGTGGAATAAGTGCTTCCCTGGCAAGCATAAGGGCCTGAGTTCAATCTCCGGTTCTGCAAATAAATAAATAAATAAATAAATAATAAAATTGTTCTTCTAAAGTCTAGAATTAAATAAACTGGAGAAAAATGCAGAAATATGGATATTTCATGTGAAAACCACTACCCAGTGACTCATTCCTTTTAGGCCCATTGCCAAAAAGCAAAAATAAAACTCAGCATCAGGAAACACAGCATTGTTTTGGTTGTGGTGAGGATTTCTCCTAGCCTGAATAAGGATTGAGAGATTCTAAAAGGGAACAGGTACATTGATTTTTTTTGAAATTGTAGACTACAGCAGGTTTCTTAGCTCACACTCTAGTGGCATTTGGGGCCAGATACTTCTTTGTTGTGGGTCCTATGTGCTGAATGACCCTGGCTGTTAATTTTGGCCTCTACCCACTCGATGCCAGGAGCAACACTCCCCCTTCTTCTCTCAAGTCAGCACAGTAAAAAATGTCTCAAAAGAACACTACAGTCGCCTGGTGGACGCCGCTGGCCCCAGGTTGACAGCCACTGGAATACAGCAATTTCAGAAGGTCCCAGACCAAGCTTCTCTCCACCTTATCTTGTGTAACTTCAAGTACACATCACCCCCCATTCAGTGTTTAATATACTCACCTTCAGTTTTCTCACTGTTAACTGGACATACAGAAGGTATCTGACTGCCTCCGAGTCTCATGAGCATTAAATGAGACATTTGTAAAGTGCTTAGACTTACAGCAGGGCCTGAGACAAAGTGCTCAATACATGTTAGCTATATTTACTTTTAATAATTATCAATAACATAAAAATAACACACTACTGTAGAAAGGTATCTTACCAGCTTGATATTTTCTGAGTCTTAAACACACCAGCCCTTTGATTCCTCGCGATGATGTCTCTCACATCTACAGGCCATGGTTAAGAAAACCTTCACAGAGATTGTCAACTGACTCAGAAAAAAACCCCCACAATACAGTGATCTTCTTATCATAACAGGATCAGCCCAGCAAAATGAGATGAGCTACAGAGCATGAGGCTGATGACCGTAAGTGTGCCTCACCCACCAAACGCTGACGTGCCACAAGCAAGATCTTCACTCTGCAGGCTGCCGTGGTGTCACCCTTGAAGCATGCATTTGGGTAGCCCCCTAGCAAGGCCTGGGGTGGGGATGCCAGTGGGGGATGACTGCTGCACAGGTGCCAGGCCCCACTTGCTAGGAAGAGCTAGCAGATCAATGGCAGCTGCCTTCATTAGAGGGGAGGGCCTTGCCAGCCGACCTTCACGTTCCAGTTGAAACATTTCCAGCCTGCTAAATTCTAGCAGGGAAGGTGGCAGTGAGGAGCAGGGAGAGGTGTGAGGGGAAGTAAAAAGAAAAGGGTGAAGAAAAGCTTAGAGCACCTTGGAGAGAAAATGAATTACTGAAGAAGAAAAAGAAGAAGGTCTAGAGAAAGGCCCTTTGCAGACTGTCTTGGTAGAGGTATGGCTTGGCCTGTGGCCACCTCCTGGCATGGAACGAGTTGTTTGCTAAGCCATAGTTAAAAGATCCATGTTCCTGAAGGGACATATTGTTGTTGTTTTGTTTTGTTTTGGCTGGCTCAGAATGCCTTCAGGGCACGTTTGGCTGGCTTGAGTTCTGGGGATCGAACCACAGCACCCTGAGCATGACTGGTCTGTTGAAGCAGCCACTTAAATAACTGAGCTAAGGGGCAGGCCCTCCTGAAGGGACATGTTGAGAGCTGTTTGGTCACATCGCAGAGGGCCATGTAAGCCAAGGCCCATGGGAAAACACCAGGTTTCAACACCAGGAAAAACTGGACCACAGATCAACTGACTTTGCTTCAACTTCTGGTCCCTAACAACTTTGTAACTGTTGCTCTGCTTTTGCTATGGCCCCTGCACATCAGGACCTAATGTTTGTCTGAACTCTGGCAACTAGAAGAGTTCCTGTGACCTATGTTTTCTGTATTGCCCCTATTTTGTTTCTGGCTTCATCATATTTGCCTAGCTTTCTAATTCCAATTGCTCTTACTTTCTCATTTATCATGCATGGTATGTGCCACGTGTTACTGTAAGAAGCCTCAAAATCCCCCATTTGGAACAAGGCCGTTTTAAATAAACAAGAAATAAAATAATTCCAGTGAAGGCTACAAGCTGAACTAAATTGGGCCCATGGGGAGGACACCAAGCAGACAAGCGATGTTCCCCTATTGCTCAGAAAAACATTTCCTGAATACTCAAAGCAAGCTTTGGCCAAGATCTCCCTGTAAGAACAGAGCCACAGGACTTTTAAGCCCAAATCTCTGCTGGAACCACCAGGCACACCCATTTCTTCTCTGAGTGAATGAGCAGGTACTGTGATAGCTTTCTTCCCCCTGGAGTGGGTAGGAAAAATCAATTAGGTCTCCTAATGAAGGGCTTTGTTGAGGTTTACAAAAGTGCTATAATGCAGACTTTTTTTTTCCTGGGTGAACTTTCCTGTATGCAAATTAAATACCGTTAAATTACATTCATTAAAAAATAAAGGAGACTAATTTGCCTACTTGTTTTGATTAAGTAAAATGACACATCGGCCTACAGTTCTGTCTATTTCAGGAGGAAAGTATTTCAGGAAAGTCTTCTAAATGAAATGCCTGGCAGAAAAGGACAGCTGACATCTTTATTCTGAGAAGAACAAAATTACTCAAGAGTCAACTGACAACCGTTTCTGATGAAGGTCCCCCCACACTCTGGCCACACCCTATCGGTGTTTCCATGGCATCCAACTGCAGGCCATAATGTGCCTGGCACACCTGTGGCGTCATATGAGTACATGACTAATCTATCAAGAAAAACATATTATTTTGTTAGTGGAGGTAATACTTTTTATAAAATAGTCACAGGGAAGTTAAATTATATAACTCAGAAAACCTATTAATAATTTTTAGTAAACATTCGAACACTATATACTTTCATACAATTTATAAACCTGTGGCTGCGGGTGGTCAGGCTGAAGCAAGCACATGTATTTATACTCTGGAAGCAATTTTTTTTTTTAATGAAAAAATTCACAGCAGTATTTAGGCTGCTTTATTTTTACAACTGGGCAGGGAATATATTTTGTGGTTTAGAAGGTGTTTTAAATATTAAAACAAGCACAAAGAGAAAAATGGCAATCATATTTTATATATTATCTTCATAGGTTCTGATATTGCGCTCCCCACCCTCTCCTTGAGGTCAGATTCTGATGGTCCAGCTGGATGGCATTGTGTCCAATAATAGATTTTTATCATTTTTCCATGTCACCTCAGGGTAATGAAGGAAATCCAATCAAATCCAGTCAATATGTCCAGCATAGTGCTCAACACAAGTCACGCTTTCCGAATGGCACCTACCTTATGGAAGACTTCAGCAGGAGGGGCTGGCTGCAAACAAAGCCTTAATGTGATTTCTGATCAAGTGGACACAGAGCAACCACCTCCGGTCCCCTTGTCTTGGCAATTGCAGGACAGATGTGTGGCTAAAAGGAAAGTGGAACCCTACCTTTAAATTTCCCTCTCAGACAAAGCACAGTTCAGGAGTGGGGCTCCATTTTCATTTTACTTCACTTGATTTTTTACTCTTAAAAATATAATTGTACATATTAGCCATGATAGTCATTTAAATACAACATATATGTTATATGTATATAAAATATTAACCACTTCCTATAATTAGTGATTGCTTTATGAGTTACTGACCATGCATTCTGACAGTTGGCATTGTCCTAAGTAAGAAAATATTTCAGAAATAAGAACACATTGCATTACTTTCTTGGTATCTAATTGGGGCATTAAAAGTGAGGGTAGGAAATTATGATATAAATCCTATTAATTTTTCTCTCTAAAGCGTTTTTAAATGCTTATTGTGGCGGTATTTGCTGGCTTACGGTTGCAAACTATTCTTAACTGTGCTTATTATTCCAATGAATCGAGAGAATGACACGGAGGTCTATGAACTCTCTGTCAACAATACCAACTGTTACGTTTATGCATGAAAGGACTTTTCTTATAGAGAATGCTGAGGAAATGCAAGATGACACTCAGCCAATCTTTCTCATTTTTGGTGAGACAGAGTAGTCTGATGGGAAAAAATAAACACCTTAAAGCAAACGAACCTGGCTTCTAGCTGTGTAGCTTTGAATAAATTAACCTCTTTGAGTACCATCTCTCAAACAGTAATAATGATAGACTTACTGGGATGCCCCATATGATAGGCCCAGCACATAGTAGGCACCTAATTCACTGTCTTATTTAAATAATTTAGACAAAAGTTTTGATGGAACAAAGACTAGTGATAATAGCTAAATGAGGTTTTCCAGTTGAGCTTCATTTTTCTGTCTCTGATGCTTAGAGCTAAGTATGTGAACATTTATACTATAAATCTGAAATGAATAGAGAATCAAAGAATTTCTGCTCTGTAGTTTTTCCAAGGTCTTTCTCATGTATAAATGTACTCTAGACCTAGCAAAATCTGGACCTCACAAAGACAGGGAGTACATCTTTCTTGTCCACTTCTCTATCTTTAGTGCCTGAAATGGCACACAGTTAATATGCATTGTATCAATTTAAATTTAATTTTAAAAGATATTTTTTGAGCTCCTACTTGAAGTGAGGCAGATAGAGTTTACTTAACACTCATCTAGTACATAAGATGAGTGTTAAGGGTACAACCGGCATCACTATTGGAAGAAGGACTTGGACCCAGGATAATGGCTTGGAAACTGGCGGTTCCAAGTTCTCAACCACCCATAGGAAGCTTCACTTAGTTTACAAATCAGGGATTCTTCTAATAAAACAATGTCAAGCCAGGAGTACCTCCTAGTAGAGTAGAGGAGATTAGCCTGATTTGGCAGAATCCGAAGCTCCAGATCATAATCTAGATAGTGCATTGCAGTGATGGGATGTTTGAGTGAAGAATACAGAGAAGTGGGCGAGTAAGCACTGGAATATTTTGAGCTCCTACCTGAAGTGAGGCAGACAGAGTCTACTTAACAGTCATCTAGTACATACAGGTACCACTGGCATCACTACTGGAAGAAGGGAGTGTGGAATAAGCCACGGTGTGCACTGGGTGAGTTAGTGACTGGAGCTTGAGAGGGTCACTTACCTTCAGCTATTCTATTTTTATTCATTATGAGCTGGAAAAGATTTAACATAAACAACTCAGTATATCTTTTCTCTTCCTTATTCTTATGTCACTGTCATCACCAGCTATTGAGTAATTATTATGTATAGGCACTTAAGAGATTTTTAAAAATTATACTGTAAGGAAAATGCCAAAGAAAAAGGAATACATTTCAAATTATTCTAGAATAAATTTGAGAACTGGATGAGCCAAATGATTTAATTTCCAACTTAGTTTTGAGTTTCTTAGGGTAGATATAAAATGGTATCTATAGGAGCAGACAGTTCTCAACCAGGGGACCCTGGGTTACACTGAACAGTGCCATTTAAGGACCACGCAGAGCCTCCAGGAACCCTACCCATGAAATATTCAAGACTTAGAGAAAATTCATTTTACCTCAACTCTCAATCTCTTTCCACATATCTCTGTTTAATAAATCTCAGATCAACATCTAGCTTTTCAGGGTCAAGGGAGAGAGTTCTAGAAGACATAACCAATCCATTTGATACATTTTAGGAAGATAATAAGTAAATTCACAACTGGCTGACAAGCTTCTGTGATATAAAGATTCAGAACTAATCCATTCACCACCTCACATATTTAAAAAAATAAAAATAACAGAAGATTAAAAGGAAAACCAGAAAAGGTTTTCATTTAGAAAAAGGTTAAAACCCAGAATCTTCAAAAGCTTAAGAGACTAGAAAGCACGACTCAGTTGGGTTCATTAAATTCAGAAGCCAAGAACAACAAAAATAATTTTTAAAATGATGAGAATAATATACAGGCCAATACTCAGATGTGATGTGCAATTGCCAGGTCGATTTTCAATTACATTTCACTGATGTATTCATTTGTTTCTTAATGTGCTCATCTTGCCCATTAAGAATAATTAGCAGCTTTGCTTAGAGATTTTCTGGCTTCTGGCAATGTTTCTCCCCCTTTTTTGTTGACATCCACTTTTACTTTTTAGAAAGTAATTTTTGGATAATATCCTACAACTGCTGTGTAATTTGGGCTTCCTAAAATTTTAAAAGAAAGACGTAAACAGTAATTTTTAAATGAGTTTGTTTCGATCTATATGCATCAATAGTATGTGATTCAGTGAATTAGTTATTCTTACAGAGAGTGGGCACAAACGGGGAAAAATTCACTCATATTAACCTCACTCAGTAAAACAGATTACGACGGATGCCTATTGTAAGTTCTGTTAGCAAGTCAAGAACAACATTAGTATTAAAAGCAGGAAAAACACATTGCCAATTTTAAGGCTTGATTCGTGTTTTTTTCTCTTAATTAAAAGAATTAGATCTAGTTACAGCAGAAAAAGGCACACAAACATAGAACGACTGAATGATAAAAACTGAACTCTATCAGGAAAGTCCTGAGAGATGAAATAAAACACACAATCAGTTTTGGTCTGCATCCTGAAAGGGCCTACTTTATCTACATTGTAAAGTTCTTCCCCTCCTGCCCTTTGGCACCCTGCTATATTAAACCCATTGTAAACCCCAGCACAATAAAGCACTCTCAGGGCTGAGCTTGTGAGGACCAAATGTTAAAAATCCATTTTCTTGGGAGGGGGCTGTACCAATCATTTCTTTGAAAGGCCGGCAGAGTGAATGCAGAATCGGAGATTTCCTCTCTGATTTCAAGAGCTGGCATGGCATCTTTGCTGTGTGCAGCCAAGGTGTGGTAATTAATGACACTAGCCTTCTTTCCCTTCTTTGGAAGCTCCATAGCTTAACTCAGTAATAATTTTAGTACAGTTACATTTACATGCTGGCTACAGATGCTTCCCATATTTTGATAAAAGTTCTAATTGATTTCTGATGTCATTAAATAAGACACCCGCTGACTTGAGAAGAAGCCAGGCTACTGGGCTCAATCTGAAAGTTTCTGTGACCAAAATAGCCCTCTCTTGTAGGCTGTTCCCTGTTTCCATCTCCCCAGATGACATTCTCTGGGGCTGAGCTGGCGTACCTGAGCTTCCTCTTGTTCTCTGTATTCCCTGACATGAGGAGGAGGAGCACAGTGAAATGATACATGCGGAGAAGAACTCTGAATAAGGCACAGTGAATGAAACAACATCAGCTCGTCTTCAGGAATATTTTGAAAAACTTGCGACAGACTCAGGATCATGATTAAAATCCTGCATTTTAAAAAAGGAAGCACCTTTTGTGATCTCTTTCCCTTGTGTGAAAGGCCAAGATGGTGATTGGCTGGTTTTCCTTCCTGAATTTTTTTTCTAGGTCTGTCAGGCAATTAGCTGGGTGGGGCTCTGTAGAGCACACAAGTGCCGCTGAACAATATTAGCTCCTGGGATTCTGGTACCTCCTTCCTCTTCTGCGAGCGGCCTGATTGAGCTGCAGTGAATTTTATGTTCAAAAAATTATACAGTGGAGGTAGAAAAAGGAAAATCAAATATAGGTGTGTGTGTGTGTGTGTGTGTGTGTGTGTGTGTGTGTGTGATTCTGTGAACATCAAAGCCACATGTGAGGCTTTGGCATGTGAAGGGCCTAAAATTCAAATAAATGGACTGCCTCCCTCCCTCCTCATACAGATAGATGTAAGGCACACCAAAAAAAAAAAAAAAAAAAAAAAAAAAGCCAAAGCAAACACATCTTCCACTTTTCCTCTCAATTTCTAACGGCTGTTAACTGCCCCTGAGCAAATCAGCTCGACTGCTAAAGTAGCCACAAATTATGCTTGCTTTCTTAGTTAAAATACAGTTCAATTTTCATGAACTCTGTGTACATATTAGTAAAGCATAATCTAATATAATGAGGTTTGAACTGTAATAGCATAGCAGGAAAAAAGAGATAGCTCTTATAATCCTAAATAAAAGGAAATAATGAAGAACTGATAGCTGTTTCCAGTGGGGGATAGAGTTAACTCCTCAGCAATTAGGATGGGCACAGTCTCACATAGGTACAGATGATATTGGTCATAAAAAAAGGGTAGGCACAAACCTGAAGCCAGAAGTTAGTATTTGTGAGCAATGTCTAATACATTAAATACCAAATTATTTACTTTATACTGGTAAATCTTAGTGAAAATAATGGTAAGAATGCTTGAAAATTATTATGAGTTAAACGTTCTTATTGCCTGGACAGTGCCACAAAACAGTCTTCTTTACTGGGAGGTGTCCATAAAAATCTATGGAAAGGTAGGGGGAAAACAGATAAAACCTGTGGCCAAAGCAATGAATTCACATATTTCTACTTTTCCTTAATTATTTATCATGCGTGTGTGTGGGGACCTCTCTGTTAATACCCCATGCTGTCTTTCTTTATATCAATTGTTACTTGGCCGGGGGAAAAAGGAATGAGCACAACAAACCCGCTTTCTATCTGAATAAGGATACTGCTGATGGCCTTTTCATTCCCATCAGTTAACAGAACTTCTCTGACATCTGCAGAAACAGCAACCTGAAAAAAAAAAGGAGCGGAGCAAACAATGAGCAAACGCGCTTGTCTGCGTGGAAGTGAAGACAGGAGTGACAACCCTTCAGTATCATGCTTCCTCACCTATTTCTCTGTAACAATCTTCAATCTTTTTTCATTTTATGTCTGCATTATTTTAATCATTCAATCAAATCAGTCAATACTTTTATCATTCCATTTGCGGGAGCCTCTATCTTGCTATCATTCTGTTCGGTAATTGCATTGTGACAGCGGATGATGGTATTCTGAGAGGCTTTCATTTGTGGGCTTCTGTTTATCTAGTAGAGCCATCATACAAGGCTGTCACTCTGCCTTTCAGCCTGCTTCTGTCTGACTGCCTGATGCCCTTCATATAACTTTGCATTGCAGGCAGATGGCTTTGTGAGGGTAATTTTTTTGTGAGCTTTGACATGCTCGCACATTGGGCTGTAACCTCGACACATTGTATAAGAGCGACAGGTTTGTCAAATGCCAATCAGTGTAACAATATGCTTTTATTTGTAGAGACATAAAAACTTGTCTAATGCACTGTGCTGCTACATAATATCTCCTGAATACATGACTCAGAACCCAGAGAATGGGGAACGACGTTCCTGAATGGCCAATCTAATTCAAAAGAATCTAATTACTGAGCGCTCTGGATCATGTTTGTTGGTGTAATAATGCAGGCAAAACATTAGCAGCTATATCATGGTGCTCCAACTGTGATTTGCCAGGCTATTCCTGTATCTTAGCAAATGGGACTATAATCTAAAGGAAAAAAAGAAAGAAAGAAAAGAAAAGAAAAAGAAAGAGAATAAGAAAAAGAAAAAGAAAAAAAAGAAAGAAATGCTTTCGCTATAGCAAAGAAAGACTGCAAGGCCTGGAATGTCACAACAAGCAATATTGACTACACAGAGGTAAAATGTTTCTGCTCATGGAGGCAACCCTAAAATCAATATGATCCGAAAGTAAGTCAATCTAGAAGGTCTCTCAAGGCCCGGCAGCTTTGACTGCAGCCGATGCTGTTGACGGTTCTCTGACCCAGCAGTTGGAGGCCCTGGAACATTTTTCCTTTTGTTCTTCCTCTGAATGGGATTGGAATTGAGAAAAGACCTACCATGAGCCCAGCCAAGCATGTCATGCCACCCCCCAGCTCACACACAGCAAGGTCCCTGAAAGAGAGAAAAGAAACGGGAGAACCCATACAAATTAGATGAAAATGGCCAGAGAGATATATATGTTACAAGAACAAATTGCCATCTGCAGTAAGAACGACACTACCAGGAAGTTGTGGAGACACGACTGGGCTACCTCATGTCGTTTTGCGTTTTAAAAATAATTATGAAATAGAAAAGTCACAAAGCAGGCAAATCAGTGGGGGTTCCCTCATTAGTGTTCACGGCAACATTGCCACCGCTGAGCTGAAAAATCTGAGAAGGTTCCCTTTTTTTCCCCTTGTCAATGGCGCTGTCTTTTAGAACTAAACTAGCTAGAGTAGCGAAAGATTATTGTTAGGAAAGGATAACACTGTTAATCCACATTCATGCTTTCAAAAACAGTTAGACAAGTAAATGAAGAATATATGTGAGTGTGTATATACCTATATTATACCCCACGCCACACACACAAATAAATGCAATCCTGAATTTAAAAAAAATCCTAAAACAAACTGAAACATTTTGGAAAGTCCAACCATCCCCATAAAGCACAATTACACAAAGAGCATTTAGCAATTAACACTTAAATCACAATTGACCCCAACACAACACTGCGAATAAACAATGCAGGGACATAATGTGGTTAAGCCAGCAAGCCCAGGCTGAAGTAATGAGCGGGCTTTGGCTCCCCTGCCTGCGAGTGAAGCGGCTGGGAGTGAAAGCTGGCCGTCTAGCGTGCCACTCTGCACTTACCTTCCCCTTTGTGCCTAAATATCAGCCCTCAACGTGGGACACTGTCGCCCCGGCCCACGGCTCGCTGATTGGAGCTCCAGTCAAGCTTAAGCACAGCGACATGAGCAAATGCCAGACTTTCAGGGCAGCTCTGCAGCCCGATTCAGAACTGCCCTGTTCTTATTTTATATGCTTAGACTCTTGAGATTGTTTCTTCTTCCCAATTCAGGAAGTTTATTACCTCAAGAGGAGAAAAGAAGCAAAATTAAAAGGGGTGGGGTAGGTGGGGAAAGGGGAGCAGGAGAAGCCAGGACAGGACATTTGCGTTTGGAAACACACTTACAGAGTACTTTTAGTTGTTCAAAGCAATTACAGACTGGTTGCTAAATTTGGACCCACAGAGCTTCAAAAAATGCACATTATTGACCCCGTCTTTTAAGTACATATTGTTAAAACACACACCACGGTCGCTAATGACTTGTCTGGAGTCCTTATGGGCTGTGCAGGGAGTATATACTAGATAACTTATATAAGAGAATGAAAAGGAAAAACCTATATTTTCTGGGTCTACTAAACAAATTTAGAATTTTAAAATTAAAGAAATTTTTTTCTTTTCCTTAATCCCATCCATGGGTTGATCTATAATTCACACTAACAGTTTAAAACACCCATTTCTGTAGCATGATCCAGTTCCGTCATTTCTATTTCACAAGCACATATGACAAGTACATAAAATACCTTTAAAATCATGGTAGGATGATATTTTTAAAAAATAACAGTGATGAGGTATTTATTTATCAAATATTCTGTAACGACTTCTCCAGTGGAAGTTTAAAGAAGTCTTTATTTTTTTTGTGTGTGTGGGGTTTTTTTTTTTTTTTTTTTTTGACCTCTGCAATCAGTAAGGATTGATTGGAGCCTCACTTTTGTTTCCCCCAAATCAAAGTGAAATAAAATGCCTTGAGTGGAAATCAAAAGACTTTGACACATAACAAAAAGCTTGCTGTGCGATATTAGTACCCAAAGGCAACGCACAATTCTTTTCAGAAGCAACATGTGTTGACTGTGAACTTTTTCCTTTCTTCCTCTTTCTTTCTAACAATTTAATTTGAAGAATGGAAACGAGGGCATTTTTAATATGCTGATTCAATATCCATGATGGGGATAAACAAATCCCTTTTAAGTGCAGCTCTGTACCTGAATATATTACTGTGCTTGAGGCAGTAGTAAGCCAAAACCTCTTCAGACGGCCAGATGCCTGGAAAACACAAGAGGATAGATGTTTGGATTATAGAAGTCATTCTGATACGAAATGGCTTTTAAAAATAAGGCTCAGACAAGCTATTCAACTGCAATCAAACTTAACAGAGTTATTACTTGTCATATGTCATGCCATATGAATTTCTTTGCTGGCTGTTATTACAATGGTGAGATTTACAACCCTTTGCCCGTCAGGATAATAGTCTAATAGCCTAAATAAAATTTTCTAAATCCCAATTACAACAAAATAGCAAAAGACAGTAGTAACCAAAATTATAAATATCGAAACCTGTATTGTGATGATATTTTAAGTGGTTCTTAACCTATTCACGTAAAACCACTCAGGAGAAGTTGCGGGCCTACGCTATACACAGGCTGTCAGGCAAAACACAAATGCAAAAATCTCTTTCAGGAGTAAACAAAAACACTGAGGCCTTTATATCTGCTTATGTCTTTTCATATTAATGTTTTAAAATGTAAGTATTTCTTTAATTAAAAAATTAAACTGGAGTATAAAATTAAGAAATTAAAAGGTCACTGACTTGGCACATCTTTTAACAATACTCCTACATACTAACTGGTACAATTGGAATTTTTTCTAAAATTATTGCCTATAAATTTATTTAGAAGACTTAGTTTTCATGAATGGATACAGGTCACATAAAGCAAAGTCAGATAGATTTGGTATTTTATAGTTACTAATGGTTATCACAGGATGGCAAAACTAGAAGTGGTCTTAATTTTTCTGTACACTTTTTGTTCCTGATTTTTAGACTACGCATGTGCTGCTTTGACAGAACAATTACCTAATAAAAATTATGCCCACCCCAACTAATCGGACCCAAAGACCAGGCCACAGGGGTTCTGGCATGCCTCAGCTGAGGACTGCACACAGTCATGGGAAGGACCAGCCCACATTCTGTGTCAGCACTAAACACTCTGCTGATGGGCCTTGGCACGAAGCTGAAACACACATGAAAAAGACTTCGCTGCCCCCCCGCCATGAATCTCCAACTTTCAGGAGTAAGAAACCCAAGCATCTCAGAAAGGATGTCAAAGATGCAGGAAGTAACTCAGGAGACACAACTGATCCACAAAGGGGTAGCGGGGAGAGGACTCTACACAGCAGGTACCGCAGCAGGCTCGGTCACCATGGCATTTCTGGTAGGAGTGACAACTTGGGAATAAGGAAAATTAGCAACAGGTGTTTGGAATCATATTTAGGAGGAAAGTGAGAGAGGAAGCGGAGTGTGAGGACCCAGATTTGCTGACCTCTGGTCGATCTGCCATTCCCTAGCTGAGAGACCTTGGCTAGGTTACTGAACCTCTCTGCGTCTTGGGCTCCTCTTCTGTGAAATATCATAATTGTAGTATCAACCTCAGAGGATTGTTGTGAAGGTTAGTGAGTAAAATACATGTGATATGTTTAGTACATTTTGCTTCTACACACACCAAAAAAACACTGTTGATGTCATTCTTGCAAAAGGGGTTAAAGGAGTGAAATAAAGACTTTGTGAAGCCTAAGCAATTATTCCCCACACTAGAGAACATAGAGAACCATTTTTATATGCTTCTACCCTTGAGCTTTGGCATGACCCCAAAGTCTTAATACTCAGCTTTCCTCCCATAAAGAGAACTATACAAAGACTCAAGCACAGAATAAAATTCTCTGAAGGACGAGCCTAAGACAGTGTTTTACACGAAGGGGATATAATCACCTTAAGAATGAATTTCTTTATGCCTTTAGTAGATGGCTTCAAGGCTTAAAAAAGTAATGATAGGGGAAGGATATTTAACTAAAATTTAAGCCTTGATTAAGTATAAAAATGGGACTTCTAAAATGCATAGTCTTTTCAAATAGTTTTATAATTTTCCTTAAAAATTATAGGAACTGATTTTTAGCTAAATTAAATTCAAAAAATACAAAGAACAAAGTAAAAGAGTTACCTAAAATTCCACCCCAGGAACATAATCACTGTTAACATTTTGGACATCATTCCAAAAAAATCTTTCTTTGCATAAAAATGTTTTACATGATTGGACTCTTCTCACCGAGGTATTCAATAATATGCTTTCACCCTACCCACTACATGGCAGAGGTAGCTTCCCATAACAATACAACAAACTCTTACTTGTAATAATGGCCTAGACATTCCACACATGTCTCAGAATTCATTTAATCTGTGCTTCCTTGGTAGTCATTTAAATTAGTTTTGAAGTTTTTGATACTATGAGATTATAAATAGTGACTCAGTAAGGACACACTGTCCTGTGTCCTTTTCCCAAGATACAGCTGTCTCCTTACATCAAATACTTAGAAATAGGAAATCTAGTCAAAGATCAAGAACATTTCACGTTCGAAAACATGGGTTGAATATTTCTAACCCAAAACTCTGAAATCTAAACTAGTCCAAGATGTGAAACGCTAGGAGTGCCAAAATGATGGAAGTTCTGTGCCTGTCCTGATGCGACACAGGCCAAGCAAAAACGAAGGCGCACTAGAAGCGCTGTAAATTCAACGGCAGGCCGTCTGATCAGGTGAACGTGAAAACATACATGACTTTTGCTTTTGAACTTGGGTTCCATAGTCAAGATATTTCATTATGTATATGTAAATGTCCAAAATGTTTAAAAATCCAAAATCTAAAATGTTTCTGGTACCAAGTATGCAGAACATGAGATTTTTTTTTTTTTTTTTTTTTTTTTTTTTTTTTTTAATGTATTTGGTACAGGGTCTCACTATGCAGCTTGAACTTGTAGAGATCCTCCTGTTTTCAGCCTCCCCAGTGCTGGGATTCTAGGCATGGGCCACCACTCCTGGTCTCAGTGGCTGACTCAGTGCATGCTGGGGCGGGGCCAACATGGCACGTGTTGCCAGGGATAGAACCCTGGTCCCTGCGCTTGCCTAAGCAGGCGCTCAGTCCACTGAGCTATCTCATGGATCCTCTCCTGTACCTAACTGTTGTCTGCAAAATTTGTACCACTAAGATTTGTACCAAGCTCAAAAAGAATGTTTCTTCAAACCCTCACCAAGACACGGGTTTTCCAACTTGTCTTATTTTTATTAGTTTGTTAAATTCTTGAAAGTTATATATTGCAAATCAAAAAGTCAAGACAATAATAAATGGTGAGGATGTAGAAAAATTGTAATTATCATTCACTGCTGTTTGACATGTAAAATGATGGGCCAGCAAGATACCTCAGCGGACTAAAGCGCTTGTTTAGGCAAGCTTAGGCAAGCGCAGGGACCATGACACCACATGCCACACCAGACCCGCCAGACCTGCTCCTAGGGCGGGCTGAGCTGGTGCATTGGCGTGAGCCTGTAATCCCAGCACTGGGGAAGCTGAAAACAGGAGAATCACTTTGAGTTTGAGCTGCATAGTGAGACCCTGTAACAACCAAATACATTAAAAAAGAAAAGAAATGTAAAATGATATAATCATATTAAAAACCTATCTAGCAGTTCCACAAAACATTAAAATTTAGATTGACACATGACCCAGAACTTCTACCTTTAGGTATATAATCAAGAATAATGAAGACATATGCATACAAGAACTTATGCAGGAAGTATTCATAGTAGCATTTTAATAGTCAAAAATGTAAACTAAAATCTCCATTGGCCGATGAATGGATAAATACAATGCAGTATTCACACAATGGACTATTACTTTACAATGAAAAAGAAATAAATTACTGATATATAGTGTGACATGGACAGAACTTAAAAAACATTATACTAAAAGAAAGAAACCAGTTACACAAGACCACACGCTGTATGTTTCCATTTATGAACTCTCCAGAATAGGCACAGCCATAAACACAAGGTAGTACAGTGGCTGTCAGGGCTAGAATGATCAGGCGTACATGGGTAATGACCACATACAGGTTTGAGATGTCTTCTAGAAAGGATGAAATCTTTAAAAATTGTGGGGAAGGTTGCACAACTCTGTGGACGTACTTACATCCATGGGGTGAGCTGTGTGGTGGTGTGTGTTCACATACCACGTAAACATCTATTGTACCTGCTCTTTTGAAATACATCTTTCTCATTGTTATTTGTGGGAACGTAATGGTATTTTTCTTTTTCTTTTTGTGTAACTGGGGCTTGAACTCAGGCTCTTGCGCTTGTCGGGCAAGCACTTATTCTACTGAGCTATCTCCCCAGCCCCATAATGGTATTTTTCAAAGGATATATGCTACACACAGCCATAGTTTTAAAAGCCACTGAGTTATATGGTATTAGAATTCATTTAACCTGAGCCCTCTTGGTAGATATTTAAGTCACTTTCAAAGTTTTCATATTATGAGATAAAGGGCACTATTCAGCCCCTCTCCCCAGTCTTCTTCCTTTTCCAGAGAACTCCACCTTGAACTCATTTGATTGCTTCTTCTGGAAATTACTTCCATGTTTCTCCATAATACATTTGTTCTGCTACTACTTGATTTTTCAGTTGTAGGCAAAATCTAGCAACTCCTCCATAATGAAAGATATAGTTGTTTTGCTTCTATCTACACTCTTCTCCCCTGCTGTTCATTCATCCCACCATCTGTTTAATATTGTATTATAACACTGTGATTATTTTAAATCCCGTATCAGGGATCAAACTTGGGACCTGACACTTGCCAGGCAGGCACTTATGTTGCTGAGCTATCTCCTCCCCGGCTATATCTTCATTAGATCGCTCCTCACTGTTGATTTTAGTAAATGTACATGCAATAAAGCTGAGTTATGCAGTAAATTATGACTAATCTTTCACGGGCAACTTTTTGTTTTTCCTAGATTTCATAATTATCTTCTTTTTTTCTCATTTGCTAAGATTTCTACAAATCACAAACTCCAGCCACCACTTTCTTTTCTCAGCAAAGTCATTCAATCCTGGTACTCTACCAAGCCCACGAGAGTCTGCAGGCACCTTCCAGCCGACCTCAGTCTGCAATGAATGTGCGCTCTTCTCAGCTCCCAGCTTAAAGCCTGGACTCTGTCTTCATCAC